AGACAAACTGGTTTTTAACCTATTCTCTCTTTTTTTGTTTTGTTGTTTTATCTTTATTGTTGAAACTATTACAAATGTCCCTTTTTACCCCCATTGATTCCCTCCCCCCTGCACCCTTCCCCCCAGTCCTTCACCATACTATTGTCTGTGTCCATAGGTGGTTATGCATATAAGTTCTTAGGTTATTCTCTTTCCACCTACCCATTTCCACCTTTCCTCTGAGGTTCATCAGTCTAGTCCATGCTTCTGTGTTTCTGGATCTATTTTGTTCATCAGTTTTAACCCATTCTCATCCAGGTTTTGTTTTGCAGCTAAAACACATGGGATATCTGACACTGAACAACTTGTTTTTCCCCTGTACTTTATTTTCTCCACCTCTGTAAATTTTGGAGAAGGGGGGATAATGTCATTAAAGTTGTGGCTAAACACAGTGTCTATCCTAATATATCTACTTTGGTTTTACTGTTTAGAGTAGAATTTCCTTTTATATGACTATGAAGCCCAGTGCTCAAGAAACTCAGGATTCTGTTGCTAACTAAAAACACCTATTTCCTGAATTTGTTCGCCTCTTAGAGATTTTCCCCCCTTCTTTATTTCTCTTTTCCCATTTTTACATCTTTTACGGTATGGAATTTAAATCCAAGGTGATACTTATTGAATAGTTGTTCTTTTCTAATACACATACTGTACTTTGCAGTTGGGATTACATCATTTTACGAATACTATAGCCTTGTGAGGCAGATGTTACTTTCATTTCCAGAAGTCAGTTTACATTGTCAGGACCATATACATTTTTTAAAAAGTGAAAACTTGCTCAGTGGTTGAACGTAGACCCTGAACCAGGAGGTCCCGGTTCGATTCCCAGTCAGGGCACATGCCCGGGTTGCAGGCTTGATCCCCAGTAGGGGGCGTGCAGGAGGCAGCCGGTCAGTGATTCTCTCTTATCATTGGTGTTTCTATCTCTCTCCCTTTCCCTTTCTCTCTCTGAAATCAATAAAAACATTTTAAAAAATAAAAATAAAAAGTGACTTTCAGTAATGTCAAGATTTTCTATTCCTGTTCCCATAGTGACCCGTGAGTCTAGCAACTGTGTGCTCTTGATATTCGAGGATGATATCGGTTTTACTTACTCTCTTCTATTAGTTTTATAAGATATCTAAAGAACCTGGAAATTTCAGAATTTAGGTGCCTCAGATTTTCTTGCACACTTGGAAGTAGCACATAGCTTAGTCAAATAATTTATCTACCAGTTTTTGGTTGAATATAGTGCTGTGTAACTTGGTGGGGACAGTTATTTTAATTTGCTTATAGAATCTTTGTTTTCATTAAAGGAAAGAACTGGGTAGGACTGAAATAAGAATCAAAGATAAAATTACTACCAATTGGGTCTTTCCAGCATGTTTGTTGCGAGATTTTTAAAAATGTCTAGATCAGGAAAACATGTAACTCACCAGCATTGTTCTAATGGATTTCCAGCTATTCCATCTTGGAATAGAACTAAGTAGACTTGAAGGCAGTGCTAGGTCAGGTGTGTGATGTGGTTCAATCCCTATCTTTAGTGTTACTTTTAGATAAACTTCAGCTTTTGCTGAAGTTTTTTCTTCGAGAGAAAGGAAGGTAGCTAGCTACCTTTGCTATCTGTTGTCCTGCTTTGAGGCAGTGCTGTAGGCATTGCAGATAGGATTTATCGGAATCTCTTGTTGAACTCATTGATAAGAAGCTGGCAGTAAGGAGTATAGTGTTGCAAATCTTTACTTTTCTCTGTTAACAGAAATTACATTCCTAGTGCCTTTATTTTTGCAAAATTATTGGTAACCACCTCTGAATTAAGTGATTCTTAGATCATTACCTCTTATGGTGTAATAGAAAAGATTTTATTAGTGACATCTTTGAAGAGTCAATGAATTATTTGTAATTAAAATAGAAATTCCTGTGTTGATCTATTTGTTCTCTACTAATGAAACATTTCTGTTAACATTATTATTCAAGATGATTTTAAAGAGTTAAAAACAAAAATTAATCCCTTTTTTGTTTTCTACATTGGCCAACATGTAAACTGAACCCTAAATTTTCAAGTACTTTTCACTATATAGATTCAAAGTGTTTATAAGAGCTTTTTAGAGGAATGATTTTTCTGTTCAAGTATATACAATAGATTTTCTATATTCTTGGGTCCCGTAGTACATCCTAAATTGTAGATATGTGGTAATATTCTACTAACACTGTAAAGAGAACTATTAAAGTATGAGTTCACATAATTAAAAGAGAAAGCTATACAACATACATTTTATACAAATGAACACTTGAACATAGCTGGCAGCATTAAAATTGGTATCATTCATATGGTATTACGAAAACAAATATTGGTACTGTATCTTCCTGCATTTAAGTAATCAAAAAGCAATTTATAGCATAAGATTTTAATGGATTTTTATATAGCACATACAAAGAAAATTTACCAATAAAGTGTTTATAAAAAGCAAAATATGAGTTAAAATGAATTCCCCACTCAGGCAGTAGCCCAGTATATGTAGACAAATAGTTTGGTACAAACTGGGATAAAATATATAGGAGAACAATATGTTAGCATTCATTCTAGTGTCCTGCACAAACACACAGTTAAAGCAATTATTTCACTACTTTTTAGCAACAGAGCAAGCAACAGGAAAGAGTTGAAAGACTCATCAGTGATGGAAGCCACATCTCTTTCTTCACCATTGATAATGACCATATTAGAAACCAGTTCATCATTATATAATGTATAACTACAACCTTAGTCATGAGTTCTTTTTTGAAGTATATATTTAAGCATGACCCTAATGTCAAGTCAGTGTCTTTTGTTTTTGAGCTGTACATTATCGGTAATAAATTTACATTTTGAATATTAGCGGGGGCGGGAGGGATCCAGCCCTACCGGTGGTAAACTGAGTTTCTGTGGTATGTTGGGATTTTGTTGTTACGGAAAAACAAACATTAAGATTGAAGCTCTTATTATTCATGCAATAATGATTTGTGGTGTTTTGCTCTGCCACTGGAGTGTGGTAACATCTTCACAGCTCACTTCACACTTGCTAACTATACACCTCTCACCTTTGCTAACAGTTCAGTTTTTTTGCCCATATTGCTAGTATTTTGAGCAGGTGGTACTTTTTGGACATTTGGGTGGTGCTTTCCATTAATTACATTACAACATTGTGACAGTTTTACTGAAACTCAATTCCAGTTCTAAACTCTCATGAGAGCCTGGCCAGTGTGGCTCAGCAGTTGAGCATTAACCTAGGGTCCAGGAGATCACCGTTCAATTCCTGGTCAGGGCACATGCCTGGGTTGTGAGCTCGGTCCCCAGTGCAGGGCACAGCCGATCAATGGTTCACTCTCACATGGATGTTTCTCTCCTCCCTTCTTCTCTCTAAAAAAGCACTCCA